GGCAGTTTCCTGCACATCAGTGAACATCCTACCTCTCCCACCTGTGTGAGGTAACCGTTGAGTCCTAAGTTGGTTGCCGGAAAACTCTTAACAATAGATGCCACTGTTGAGCGTTGCAGATTTGGCTGCACTCTCAGACCAGCCTCTCATATTGAGAGACCATGATTTACTACATGATCTGGACTGCACTGGCTTGGTCATGGCTGACCCATGGCTCAAATTCTCAACTATTTTTAAACTGTCCTTCTGACCATGTTATGGGATTGCAATGCTAAATCTGTCGGGTATTCTTTTAATCTGTGGTGTATGTGCCTGCAATTTAGCAAAGTGTGAGTGGCTGCTGATGAGTTCTCCTGTTTGAGACGTCACTTTAAATGAAATACTAAACATTATTGCGCATCCCTAACTTTGTTTCTTTCACAAAGCATTTGTGATTTTTCTCCTTCCATTGTTCTATGGACCCTGTTCCTTCCCCCTGCCATGGCCCTGCTGACAACTGCTGCTGCTATCATCATTATTATTATTTTAAATATTAATCACATTACTATTGCTGTCATCATGAATCCCATTTCTCCATGGAGGGGTTTTCATTTTTTGGGGAGTTTTTGCTTTGCCGATATAAGGGTTTCGGGACAGAGGATGTCCCATGTGTACAGACTGTAAAGCCCTTTGAGGCAAATTTGTATATTTGTAAATTATACCATAAATCCGTAGAGCCCCTCGGGACCGTGTAGCAGATGACACCGGGCCAGAAACCTTTATCCAGGATGGGCGTGTATAACGCTGGCATTGCTGTTATCTGAAGTCTTGATACGAACACTTTAATAACCTCCTTGGTTAATGGAGATTAGAGCGCGCTGAAGGACAGAGAGAGGAAGAAAAATTGGCTGGGAAATATTGGCTGATGGTAAATTGGAAGGAAAGGGTTGCCAAGGCAACTGGTTACTCAGCGACAAAATCACCATAGAAATATACTCACGTTACATCAGTCTTATTACTCCACTGCTCCCCTCCCCCACCATACCAGAGAGCGTTTTTCAGTGAGCAAGAATTGTGTCATTAAGGCGGTTATTGCCCTTTTTTCAACAACCTCATGTCTAAATAGGCAAGCCTACAGCCTTATCAAACACTCCCACTTTGAACCAACCCCAACTCTGCCATTGTTGAATCCTTTTTTCCCCGAGCTTTGAATTAACAGGAAAAAATGTTGGCATCTGAGACGGACGAATACTAAGCGACTCTGACTCAACAGTTGTTTCGCTCTAAAAGAACAGCCACCTGCGAGGACTGCTCTGATTGCAAGGGAGCTGAATAGTATTTGGGTTACCATGGATACTTCAGGAACAAAACTGAAAATAAAAGGAAGCAGGGTGACAAGAGGAGTGGTACACTCTTTGTAAAGGAAAAAGGGAACATGAATGTCAGCCTTATCTGTAGTCTACAAGAACAGACCCAAACATATGTTATGGGTAATTGCGGTCACTCAGAGGCATTCCCCGCCTTTCCTCTGCTCCATTTGAAAATTACATCTCAAGTTCTATTTCCAACAGAGCTCTTACTAGACAGTTAGCAGATTGAGTAACTGCACATGAACCTGAAGCAGCTTCTCCAGGTGTCCGGGACACCATCCACTGGGAGGAATAATGAAGTGTCTCTGTCCTTCCCTGGAGTCTCCCGCTCTAACCTCCCCACCCACCCCCATTGCGCCCGTGCTGCACTAATTGGAACATTATTATGGACTCAGACCGGCATTGTCATGTGGATTGCAGTCACCTTTGTGTGCATCACGTATAGATAAAAAAGCCATATAGGAGCGTTCTGATTGGACACACTATACAATGAGGGGATGAAGTTAGACAAATATCGCTCACATACCCCCAAAACAGCTACAAAGTGGTGTAGCTCGGCCTAACGTTAGGGTTTTGCTTCGAATATCAAACCTTCATTTGTAAAGATTATCTTGCTGAACAGGTATCTTGGACATTTGTTTCCCACACATACCCCCTAATTTTGGCAATGATCTAAAATCCCATTGGTTCTTTGTCGAGGCAATCCGTGCAATGCTAACTTCCTGATTGTTTGATAAAACATTCGTGCTGCAGTCTATACCTTCAATCTTGACAGCTCATGAGCATTCATACTTCATTATCATCTGCTTTTAGTGATTGAATAGGCTAATCATTTGCTTTGTATGTTGTACTGTATTAGAGAAGTTGGTTTACTTGAAAGCAAAATAAACTTTTTATAACCTTTTCAATTATACTAAAAATAGGAGTTATCTCTGGCTTGCAACTTGAAGGCTAACATTAACAGTTTATAGTGTTACAAACTTAACATTACTATGGAAAAGCCTGTGCAGTTATTTTTCAACACTTTCTTCAAACTACTTTCTTCAGAGTGCCACTCAGCTTTCTCTTACCACAGCTGCTCTTTTCGGAAGTAGAAACATACAACTTTGTTAATCCCCGACCGTGCATCAGTGGACCTTTCACAGGAAGGGCATCGTAGCGTTCCCTCATTCTTAATCGCTTTATTCAAATTACGCCTCCTTTCTCAGAAAATGGAGTGGGCGGATCTCCTATTTATTCTAAACAAACAAAGCTTTACTGATTTACCACAATTTTCCATATTTGTATCAGTGCGCTCCAGCCAAAGTGGTTATTCTGCAGACATGGTAACATGTAATGAGGGAAAATAAACAAGGTGGAGGTGGAGCCACTTGAAGCCACCAATCTAGAGGTGGGTTGTATTAAAAACAACTGAAAGACTACCGAGGCGCATAAGGAATCTTCGGTTTTCTTGTTTATTTACTTGTGCAGACCGCACACATGAGTTACAGTGTGGCAAATTAACTGTTTCAGTAGCAATGCAGGAACTGAGCTTCAACACAATAAACACAGCCTTTTTAAGTTGATCAAGTTGACCAATTGACCAAGAGAAACTTTGGGGCCCGCAGAGGATCAGCCATCCTGGTGATTTCCAAATACTTCCAGTACTTCCAGTATGCCATAGTAAATGTCTGCGATGGCTGCTGCCATCATCATCATCATTATTATTTTAGATATTAATCATATTACTGTACTCGTAAACCAACATTACCCTCTCCTAAATTCTCTGTGCTCTCCCTCCCCACAGGCTTCGGTAGATGGTGGTTCTATCTGATGGTGGTTGCCCCTGCAGTGGTCCTGCTGTGCGCCTGGCTTACTACTCACAATTACTTGAATCATTTCTGTCATAGGAATTGCATGTATTACACATTGTTCATTCTGCACACATGGCATCCAATGTAGTCTGTCCATCCCGGGAGTGGGATCCCTCCTCTGACGTTCTCCCTAAGGTTTCTTCCCTTTTTTCCCTCTTGGAAGGGTTTTTTCATTTTTTGGGGAGTTTTTCCTGTGCCAATGGTGGGTTTCGGGACAGAGGATGTTGTATGTGTACAGACTGTAAAGCCCTCTGAGGCAAATTTGTAATTTGCGATCTTTGCGGGTATACAAAATAAAATGAATTGAAATTGAATTGAATTGATGACGTCAGGGTCACCCACACACACACGTATATTCTCCAGTACCAGCAATTAGAAGCTTGTCCTGATGTGGCACTTTGGGACCCACTCCTCACTGCTCTACCTTCCTCTGCCATTTTGACTTGCCCCTCAATCCAGGCTTGCAGTTGACCCCCAGGGGTCGGGGGGTAAATGAGTGACCCCTCTACTTTCTCTGGACACAATAGCCTTTGATACCCAACGGTGGGAAAGAGAAGAAAAAAGGGAGCTCATTGCACATTCAGCCGATTTCGTCTTGGCAGCCGGGGGCCGGAGCGCCAGCAGCCCTTAAATGGATGGTGCCATTGATGGTTAAATCAATTCGGGATGGTGACAGCGTGGCTAGGCTCCAGACTGTAACAATTGCAGATTACCACAGTACTACACCCCACCCCCTCCATCATACCCCTCCCTTCTACAACCCATCCACACACACCCTCCCACAGCCCCAATCCTCACACTGGCTTTTTAAGATGAAGTGTGGGGACTTCAGAGGGGATTCAAAAGGGTGGGGTTGAGGGGCAAAGGGGGACTTTAGAGAGGCAGGGAGGGTTTAGGGCGACAAAAGATATATTTCCAGTGAAAGCCAGAGAGAGAAGAGAATAGTCACATGCAACACAATGCTGTTTCACTCTCTCTTCTTCTTCTTGAAATAGGAAGAAAAAAAGCTGGTGCGAAACATCACTCAGTGATGAGAGAGCTGCTCCACTCAGCTGCTTTCACCACCTCCCCCACTTCCTTTGCTTTCCTTCCCCTTCTCGCCGCTGTGCACATTCATTCATGCATGCATACCAGCACACAGAGTAGTTTTTTTTTTTATTTAGGGATGATTTGGGGGCGAGGGGGGTCAGTAAGGTTTAAATCCCAGCCAGAGACTTTTAGTGCTGGATGGGTGGTCCTACATTCACAGTGGCGGTTGTGACACAGCAGGTTTGTGTGGATTTTATTCTTTTTTTGTTGGTGGTGATGAGGAAGTGTCACACATGCTTTACCAGAAAGGCTCAATGCTGCCCTCTTTAGAGGGAAACTGGGGCAAATGAGATGGGAGCTCTGCATTGCCTTCTCAGTGTTGGTCTCCATATGTGGTGCAGGAAAGGAAGTGAAATGGTGGAGTTGAAGCAACCACATTCTGCAATGTATTCTGTGGAAGTGGAATATTTTTATTAAAACATGTGGAAAGAATTTCTAATGCCGACGCAAAAAACCCACCCTCATGCCACAAAGAGGCAAGATGGCAGTGAGTTAATGTGTCTATGTGTGTGTGAGAGAGATGGGGTATTGGCTGACAGATGCACTAGAAGCCAGAGGTGGTCCATGGTTGCCATGGAGACAGTGTGGGCTGAAGGAGCTGTGAGCATATTGAATATGCAGAAAAAGGGTCCCCTGAGATATGCGAGTGGGTTTAAGATGGCTGTCAGAGGGAGATCTACCACACTTTCATTTGCTGTGATAACGGCACAAGACATCGGCTACTGGGGGAAGATTATATCTTCATTTTATTTGGGTTTTTGCAGAGCTCTGTAAACAACTGCAAGCCCAATTCCCTTTGAAGTAAAAGATCTGTTGATGAGTCAAGTTTTCAGTGAGGCTTCATTTCACTGCCTCTCAGCAGAAACATGGACGCACTCCTCCCACTTAACGCTGAAGTCTACCCAGATTCCTCGTTGCCAAGGATACAGTAACGACATGACAAAGCAAAAGAAGGTAGATGATATCTTTTCCAGTTGTCGTATTTTTTACTACTTGATATGAAAATATGAAAAATATATTTGAAATGGGTAGATTTTCAAAAATATGGATTTGGTTCAGAAAAAAACAGAAACAGTAAGTGATTAAAGAAATCACACCTCCTAGTAGTTTAGCTTTTTGTTTATTTTGGCTTCTTTTTTCAAGTTTCTTTTTAAAACCTTTTTGTCTTTACTAAATTTTGATAAAACGTGATGATTTTCAAAACGCATACATCTTTTGACATTAGTTTTTGAAGCGTAGTGTAATCAGCTAAGAGCTTACTTTGGGCTACACAACAGTCAAGGCTGAACAGTGGTCTTTATGAAGTTTTATAGTTTAAATTGTTATCCCTGGCCTTTTTTTAAGACAACAAATTCACAGTCAATGCAGTGTACTTTTCCATGATGGAGCAAAAGGAAAGAAATCACTTGTGTTAACCACAAACCTCATTTGAGACATCTAACCAAAGAAACCATTCTGAAAAACGTGTTGACTTCCAGAGGGAATTGGAGGCTGTTTAATTTCCGGGTGCTTGGACTCTTTCCTGCAGCTTCTTAAACCTCTATATTAGCAATGGCTGCCTCCTCCATTCAGCATGTTTGCAGAGCCAGAGCTACACATCAAACAGCCTGGCCTCCCATTAAGTATACTTATCAATTCATTAAGCCCCATTTCAAACGCACCACCCCCTCAACCCTCTCCACATGTTACCCGGGACTGATTCTGTCCGATCAGAAGATGTGAACGTGTGTGTTCGTGTGCACATGTTTTCCGTCAGAGCAGCACTCTGAGCAGATGTGGCTGAGATTGAAATATGTAATGTACAGTAGTTGCCGCATTGTGACGAAAGGGCACTTTGTATATCTGGATGGGGTGTTTTTTGGTTGAAATTAAGCCCTGCTATGCTTTAGAATGTCATAAATGAGGTCCCTTGTGCGGGGAAGGAGATAAGCCTGGGAGCACTCCACTTTGAACTTGAGAAAGCTGGAGCCTAGCGGAGCTGCAGCGAGACGCAGAAAGCTGCCTCTCTCTCTGGCGTAGTTTGTGTCTTTTCTAATGCTTCAAACACACTTGGAACCACATGGAATGAAATGCTGTCTTGACAAGGTTGTTTGTAATGATGCAAGCACTCCTCTGAGCTTGTTCTGACTGAGGCCAAACATCTCGCACCAAGCGAGAGTGCCTTTATCTGCTCCAGTTCCAGATTGTGGCCATTTTTATTGCACTCAATGTATTGTGAAAGGTGCCTTTCATATGCCGGACCTGTCTCAAACATGAAAAACTTGCATTCGCACTTCTGTGCATCGCTGAAGCAGCTGTTGGGTTATGCTTGTGAGAAGAACCTCTTTTTGAGCATAGTATACCCAGAGTTCTGACTCGTCACTTGTCAGCGTGTCTGTTTTGTGGGTAAAAGGAAAGATTGCTCCGAGTCTCGTGGTTTCCCCACTCTCCCTCCTGTATCTACTTCATTTGCTGTTCCTCCCTGGATTCCATTCCACTTACCACAGGTATGACCCGCTGGGCATAGCTAACATCACCTAAGCTCTTAAAAGGTGCATATAATTTACAGAGTTGCTCTATATGGATCATGTATCATGTTAAGTGCCAGAGGCTGAAGTCTGTTTGGCGTCTTTGCCCAAGTGTAGTGTTACACACAATACCATATTAGTTTTGTTTTGACTGCAGCTTTTTATGCCTCTCATTTGGACTGTGAGGTCTGTCCTGGTCTGTAACTGCTGTTCAATACAGTCATGCTTTTTCAGAGAATATTCACTGTGACTATGTATATATGTGTAAACCTATATTGTGGCAACCCCAGGGAAGTGAGGCCAGATTCATGGCTAAAATAGGAGGCTCAGAGAGAGTAATCACTTAACAAAAAGGTTCCTTTCAATAAACAAGGTCAGTGTAGGGGCGCTTAGGCTAACTTTCAACAAAAAAAGGCGTCTTTTGCTCCAGCTCCGTGACTTTGGTGTACTCCACGGGGTAAACGGATCCTTCCGTCCTGTTGGGTTGGATTGGGTTGGGGTAAAGCAGAGAAAAGGAAAGGAAAGGGGTGAATCCAGGTCATCACCTCCAGTCTGTTCTCCCTCACTGCTGCTCAGCTCCGTGGATATATCCTCCTCCACCCACACCCGTTGGTTGCCACAGGTGGTGGAGGATTCGGGCAACTTTAATTCCACCGCCATAACCCCGAAAACCACGGACCATGGGAGAAGCAATGGAAGCCGCAATGGCCAAGCTCCTCCAAGCCCAGGCGCAGCAGGTACAGAGCATGGCAGCCCTTCAGGGGACATTCGACAGGCTGGCCGAGAGCCTAACCCCGAGGGCCCCTCACGCTTCCCCAACAGCTTTACTCACCAAACAGACCCCTGGAGACGATGTGGATGCCATCCTCGAGGTCTTTGAACGAACGGCAGAACGTAAAGGCTGGCCGGAAGACCGTTGGGCACACATCCTGGCGCCTTTTCTGACTGGAGACGCTCAAAAGGCATACCAAGACCTCGGAACAAGGGAGGCGACAGACTACCCAACGGTTAAGGGGGCCATCCTCGCCTACGATGCGCAACTTAGCCGGCCGCGCCCAGCGGGTCCATGATTGGGTGTACGACCCCCGGGGTACCGTGCGGAGCCAGGTGGTACGCTTGGGGAAGCTTACATGCAGCTGGTTGGTAACCGGGGAGGGTCTGGCTGCCATCGATCGTCTCGTTATGGACCGCTGCATCCGAGCCCTGCCTCCTGACGCCAAGCGATGGGCAGCCCAGAACCACCCAGGGTCAGTAGAAGAGCTGATGAAGCTACTGGAGAACCCGCCGGGTTGGCCAGCAGATGATGGTAGGGACGAGCTCTTTTCCCCGAAGACGGGAGGGACTGACTCCGGCCAAGCCAACGACAACCCCTCCTCGCCCGGCGCCCGCCGCGCTCACTACCCGACAGGTCTGAGTGGAGTTTTGTTTCGTGTGGCCAGTTAGGACATCTCGGCCGGCAGTGCCCTGCTGGCAATGTGCCCGTGCCCTCCGCCAGCACTGAGGAACCGCACCGCCCAGGGAGGTGCCTCATGACTACCTGTTGGGCTCCCAAAATACCCGGCGCAGCAAACGTGCCAGTTCGGTTGGGGAAACAGGACACCTCAGCCCTGATAGACTCGGGTAGTGTGGTTACACTGATTCGCCCTGAGTTGGCAGACGGAGAAGAGGGCTCCTGCATCGAGGTGACCTGCGTTCACGGGGACCGCAAGACATATCCGACGAGTTGGATCCAGGTGTGTACCCCCCTGGGGTCTTTCACCGTGCGGGCCGGGCGGGTTCCCAACCTCCGGGTCCCCCTGCTCATTGGGCCGGACTATGAAAGATTCTGGGGGTCTCAACCGAGGGGAGCACCCAACTGTGCCTCCCAGCCAAGACCCACCCGACGCAGGGGACCCAGAGCCGCATGTACGGCCCACGCTCCTTCAGGGTTGTCCGACAACTCTACCACGTTAACCTTTTTAAAAAATGGCAGTCTTCCAGAACCGCAGGCGCAACCCACCCCGGCCCTACCGCTCTGACCCCGTTGTCGGAGGTGCCCATGGGAGACCAACTCCGTCCGAGTCAGCTGCAAGACCTACGTGAGGTGGTGTGGCAGCACCTGGACATCTTCTCCGACCTGCCGGGCCAGACCATCATGGCCACTCATGCCATAAGGACAGAGCCAGGAGTAAAGGTACAGGTGAAGCCATATCGTATTCCCGAAGCGAGGAAAGAGGCCATCCGGAGGGAGGTGCGGAAAATGCTCCAGCTGGGGGTCATTGAGGAGTCCCACAGTGCCTGGTCCAGCCCAATTGTACTGCTTCCCAAGCCAGATGGTTCTTATCAATTCTGTAATGACTTCCGTAGACTCAATGACGTCTCCCAGTTTGATGCCTATCCCATGCCCAGGTGGATGAACTGATTGACCGGCTGGGGACGGCCCGTTTCATCTCCACCTTGGACCTCACCAAAGGCTACTGGCAGGTGCCGCTGACTACTCGGGCCAGGGAGAAGACCGCCTTCCCCACCCCTGAAGGCCTATACCACTACACCGTGTTACCCTTTAGCGTCCATGGAGCCCCAGCTACATTCCAGCGGGTTAATGGACAGATTCTCCGGCCCCACCAATGGTACGACATCGTGATCCACAGTGATGACTGGGAGACGCACGTGAGCCGGTTGCGGGCGGTACTGGGGGCCCTCCGGAGGGCAGGACTCACAGCCAACCAAGAAGTGCCGTCTGGGCCTAGAAGAGGCTTCTTACCTGGGCTACCGCATAGGACAAGGCAATGTGCGACCCCAGGATGCCAAGATACAGGCCATTCTTAGCTGGCCACGACCAAAGACCAAACGCCAGGTAAAATCTTTCCTAGGGTTGGTGGGGTATTACCAGAGGTTCATTCCCCGCTACGCAACCTTGGCGTGACAAGAAAGCGGGGGCCAGACAAGGTCAACCGGACCCCCGGGGCTAACGGGGCGTTTGAGTGGCTACGACAGGCTTTGTGCACCAAACCGGTGCTAGTAACTCCTGTCTTTTCCCTCCCATTCCTAGTCCATACAGACGCGTCGGAAGGGGGACTGGGGGCGGTCTTTTCTCTTAACGCACTTACTCCACAGTGGAGAAGGAGGCGCTCACCATAAAATGGGCACTGGACAAGCTTCGCTACTACCTCCTGGGTCGGAGATTCACCCGGGTGACAGACCACGCCCTCCGGAAATGGATGCCGCAGGCGAATAACTCAAACGCCAGGGTCACCTGCTGGTGTCTGGCCCTCTAGGACTACAAATTCACAGTGGAGCACCGTCTGGGGAGGGAACATGCTAAGGCGGTTGGCCACACTATAAAAGGCCAACCATTCCAACAGCCCAGCAGACAAGAGGAAGGAGACTGAAGGCCGAATGAACCCGCTGAACCGCACCCTTTTTCGTTACTTTGTACGTTACAATAAATCGTACCCTTTTCGTGTG